AGTGATGGATTCAGAGTACAGAATGGGGTATATATTTTTGGAACATGGCCAATGAGGGAATTTGTTTTGCTTGACTATGAATATTTGTTACTAGAAACTTGGGTATCTTTTTTTTTTCCTTTTCCAATGGGATGAGGGATTGGAGGAAGAAGAAATAGATTTTTATTCATTTAAATAAAAGGCTTGAGAAGGAAGAAAAATGAAAGAATATTTATTGGTAGAGGTAGACTGCTCAGGGCCACCCAGGGCAAGAAGCAGTCAGGGGCCTAGAGAAATCCAGAGAGAGAAGAGTAAGAGAGGCAAAGTGGCATCATAAGAGTGATGGACCTGGAGGCAAAAGACCTACATTTAGGTCCATGATTGAAGCCACGTTATTTCCCTTCTCTAAACCTCAATTTCCTCATCTATAAAATGGAGATAATAATATTGACATGACCTACCTCAAGGAAAGCATTTTCCTGGAAGTACTAGAGAAATGTCAGTTATTATGCATAATTATTGTCCTTTCGATGGGGGGGGCAGGATTGCACATGGTATGTAGTAAGTGCTTAATAAATGCTTGCTGACTAAATGTCTGGAAGGGTCCTTAGAGCACAAAATGTCAGAACTGGGAAGGTCCCTAGAACACAGAATATCAAAGCTGGGAGGATTCTTAGAACACAGAATGTCAGTGCTATTGAGGACCACTGAGATCACTTCTAGAAGTGACTTCCTCCATCTCAAACATAGCTGCCCTTATGTTCATTTTAATTAAAATTTAACTAAATTAGGGTTCTTAACCTGGGGTACATTCATGTGTGTGTGTGTGTATATATATATATATATATATAATAATATATATATATATATATATATATATATATATATATATATATATATATACACACATACACACATATATATATACACACACACAACTATTTCAATAGAATTGGTTTTCTTGGTAATCTATTTTGGTTTATACATTTAAAAACATTATTCTGAGAAGGGATCCATAGGTTTCATCAGCTCACCAAGAGGTCTATGACACAAAAAAGTTAAGGACCCTTGACCCAAAGAGAGAAGAGGGAAACTGAGGAGATTGCAAATGTTCTCGTCTTTCTCATACCCCAGGGATGCTATATTGAGAGTTCTAGGTTCTACAGAACGGGAGGAAGACTAGAGGAGATCCTGTCAATGCTGACTTTTCTTGAATGAATGAGAAAGAACAGGGCATTCAGTCATTCGTTCAAAAGCCTGTGCTAGGCCTAACGGTTAAGTACTGGGAATACAAAGACAAAAATAAAAACAATCTTTGCCCTCAAGGAGCTTACAAATTCTATGATACATGGAACACTTTGGGAAACATATCTGGGAGGCTGGGAGCTGGACCCACCAGGAGGGCAAAAGCAGTCTCCAAATTATTGGGAAAACCCATCTTGCCAGATATGACTATGTTTGCTGCCCCCATATCTCCAAGCCTCCATTTTGCAGGCAGCCAGAACCTCATTCTGTCTCACCTCCAGCCAGGGCTCACAGGCAAGTCATCACCAACCATCTGGACCTGAGCTAGGCCTTCTGCAGCCCTGGTCTGCTCTATTCCTTAGCGACAGAACTAGGTCACTAGGCCAGGCTTCAGGATTTGTGGCTGCTTAGCCCCTCACTGCCTGGCTCTTCCGGAGGCCCACAGGAGGTCAGTAAAGCCAACAGGATTAGAGCTGGAGGGAAATGGAGAGAGGGCCAGACTGCCAGGGCCTGGGCAGGCTGGATCTAGAGGTTCTGATGGGGGTGGGGGTAGAAAGGAAGGGTAAGGACAAAGCAGGGAAGCAGAGAGTCATTACTAGAGAAGGATTTCAGGACAGAGTGAGCATCCAAGAGCCTCTGGATGGACAATCAGGCCAGGCCTGGAGGCTGTTGGATCTTAATGTGATCCCTCATCCAGATGTTGTGGGCTTCCAAGGGCTTTCCACAAGAAGAGAGTCTGAACTGAATGGCAGTGTGTGTGTGTGTGTGTGTGTGTGTGTGTGTGTATCTGTCTGTCTGCTGTGTCAGTGTGCATTTGCATTCGTGTGTTTTTATGTGTGTATATCTGGGTATAAAGTATGTGTGTATTTGCATTCATGTGTGTGTAGATATATAGTAGGTGTGCTATTTGCATTCTTGTGTGTGTGTGTGTGTGTGTCTAGATACATAGTATGTGTGTATTTGCATTCACGTGTGAGGTATGTGTACTGAGTGTAAGCACAATATGTAGAGAGAGCATGCATGCATGTGGTGCGGATTAGCATGGAAGGTGCAGTGTGGGGAGAAGGAACTGAGGTGGCATGTGTCTTCTTAGCCATCCAGCTGTCTGCCTGTATGCCATCCTTTCCTGGGGGCATCAACATTCTCTTACCGGGGAGGGAATGAGCTGGATGGGGCCCAGCTGGACAAAGTGCCAGCAGCAAGCCTAGAAAGCCAGGAGTCATGGCTGTAGGCACTGGCTTCCTGGGTACCGTCTGAGCCATCCTGGGGAGGAAAGAGAACTACGGCCTAACCCTCCAGACCCTTGAAGGGGGAAAGCAGGGAAGGAGGGGGATATGCCACCGGATCCTAGGATCTAGGGCTGGGAAAGGCCCGAGAATAGGAGCTGTTAACCTGGATTAGATTTCAAGGTGGACATGAACCTGGATGGAAAAAATGATATCCATAAGGCTCAAAGGTCATTTGCATAAGACTCTCCTCACTGGTGGAGATTGATTATTATTCAGTGTTCCTCTCCTATGTAAGCAATGGAATTGTGGAGAGCTTGGGAGAGAAGAGAGAGCCTGGTCTTCTGATTCCACGTATTTATTTTCACTCAACTTTGGTTTCCTTTATGACTCTATGTGTTTATTTTATACATTGAAAAACATTATTCTGAGAAGGATTCCATAGACTTCACCACCCTGTCAGAGGGGTCCAAGATGCCAAAAAGGTTAAGAACCCCTGTCCCCTAGAGATTATCTAGTCTACCTCCTCCCTTCATTTTACAGATGAGGAAACTGAGTCTTAGAGATGTGACTTGTGCAAGGTTGCACAGCTGATCGGTGGCAGAGCAGGGGCTGAAGCTCAGCATTCCAACTGTTTCCTTACCCTCCTCACCCCCAAGGAAAAGGGCCAAAAAGACAGCAGTCCCCTGGGGTAACGGCCTCACTGCCCTCAAGGGAGGCCCCAGGTGACTCAAGCTTCCCAGCACTCCCTGGAAGCTCCCCTCTCAATAAATATTCAGTTCAAACCACATTTATACATCTTTTATCCTGGAGAAACAAAGGGAGCTATGGCAAAGGTGCTACTTTCATGGGGGCTTATATTCTAATGGGTAAAAGGGCAGATTGAGACCTATGATACGAGGGAGAGTGAAATCAGTGAAAGGGGACACCTAGGCCCAGTACTAGGAGATATGTGGGGAGAGGAGAGACACATCACTCTCACAGGGAGAAGAAGAGGGTCAGGAAAGGCACACAGAGAAAGTGAATGAGGAGAAAAGTAAAGGAGTAAGATGGAGGGAAGGAAGAAAGGAAAGGAGAAAGGAGATAAGGATAGAGAATAGAATGAAGAGGAAGAATGGGGGTGAAGGGCTGATAGAGAGGAGATGGGAAAAGAGAAAGAGAGGGAAGGAGAGATAGAGAGACAGAGGGGATGGGGAGAGAGCTGGGATGAGGATGAAGGGGATAGGGAGAAGAAAGGGGGTATGGAAGAAAGATATAGATAAGGGATAGGGGAGAGAAGGAAAGAGAATAGGAAAGAGGAAGGGAAAGAAAGAAGACTGGATGGGGAGGATGAGGTGGGGAGAAAGAAGAGTGATAAATAGTGGAGGAAGGAGACTAGAAAGGGAAAAGCTTGGGGTGGGGGGCATGGTATGAAAGATCAGACTGCCCAAACATAAGGACCCAGGTAGGTAGTGAATTGAGAAAGGGGAATAGGGAAAAGGAGAGCTGGGGAAACTGGGAATTGGGGACAGCACCAACTAGAGGGGGCAGGGAACAGAGGGCAAGGGAAGGGAAAGACAGCCTGAATGGGAGGGACCCAGGTCCCACGTCCGCACTTCCCGCCTGGGCACGCAGAGGGTGAGGAAACTGGAAACCCCTCCTAGCAACAAACAACTTGAGCAGTGGAAAATATTTTTTTTCTGAGAGCTGGCTCTCCTTGGGGCTGGCCCAGCACATACTGAGGGTCCTAGGCCAGGGTCAGGGCAGGGGACAGAAAGAGAGAGAGAAAAATGTCAAAGGCTGGGTGCTGGTCACTGCCTGTGGGTCACACTCTGCTGCTCTACTCTTCCTCCCTGCCTCAGTCTTCCCTTTTCAGTCTCACCTCCTGTCCCTCTCCCTTCTCTTCCTGCCTCTTTCTTTCCCCCTGTCATCCTTTCCCTCCTCTCTCTCTTTCCTACTTCTCATCTTTCTCCTTCTTCTTCTTCCTCATCTCCTTCCCCTCTCTTCTTTCTTTTTTCCTTTCCTTTGTCTGCCTCCTCTTCCTTTTCTTTCCCTGCTTCCTCCCCCTTTTCTCTTCCCTATTTCTTTTCCTCCTCCCCTGATTTTCTCATCTTTACCTTTCATCTTCTGCCCTTCCCCTCTCCCTCCTCTTACCCATTTCTTTCATCTATCCCTCCCTCATCTTCCTCTCCCTTCCCTGAATTTTCTTCTACCTTTTCTCACCCTCTCTTCTCCCTCCTTCCTCTACCCCTGGCCTCACTTTTCTTTCTCTCCCCTGTTTCCCTCCCTTCCTCCTTATCTCTCCTTTTCTCTTTCTCCTAGGCTCTTCTTTTCCCTTCTCTTTCACTCCTCTCTCTCCTCCCTCTTCTTTCTCTTTTCATCTTCTCTCTTTCCTTTCCTTTCTTCTCCTTTCTCTCTCTTCTTCCCCTTCTTTCCCTCCCTTCTCAGAGTAGAACACGAGGCCCAGAAAGGCTGAGTAGAGGGTGAGCTTTGAGCCTCCCCTCGCTGCTCAATTCCCCCCCACCCCCCACCCCCCACGTAGCAGACCCTCCCGCCGGCCAGCCTCCCTACCTCTCATGCTGCCGGCTGGCCGCTTACCGCCCCTTCTGGAGAATGGACTCTTAGGGACGAACAGCTGGGCAGAGAGCTGGGCCGGGGCGCACGGTTGACTCTCGGTCTCGCTTCGGTCTCCTGGACTGTCTCTCCAGCGTTCCCCACCTCTTCCCTCCCAGAGCCCGGCCCGACCCGGCCCGGCTCGGCTCCAGGACTCTGCTAACCTACTTTCCCGGAGCAGAGGTGGCCAATGTAACATGTGGAAATTCACATGATGGGCCCGGCTCCGGCTGCTCCGCCCCAGCTGTCAGCTCCGGCCCCGCCCCCCAAAGCCCCGCCTCACCGTCTGTCCCCGCCCACCTGGTCAGTTGCCCACCCCTCCCGGCCCCGCCCACTTGCTAGGGACGGTTTAACTTTTGCTCTCCTTTCCAAAGGCACCAGGGTCAGTCATCCCTAGGAACTGTATGATTTAAAGGGGAAGAGGTCCTTAGGTCATCTACATCTCCCATCCTACAGGTGGGGAAACTGAGGCTCAGAAATGCGATGTCGGCATGAGACTGCCTGACGTCAAGCTGCTAGTATAGGTCAGAACTGGAACATGCTTCCTTGATTTGGTTCCACAGAAGTCCAGTGTTCTGTCCTCTGCAGCTAGTGGCCCCTCTCAGGGAAGTCCCTGAGGCATTCCGACAGAACCCCCCCCAGCCAATTCTGTCTCACCCCTACAGTGGTCCCCTACTCTTTACCACTCTTCCTCCTTTGTTCAGTTGAGGGTGAGGCCATGAGCAAAGCAAAGGGCCCTGTACTGAGAAGGCAGAAGGCCTTCTTCCTGCTGCCAGCTCTGCCGCTGACGCTCCCTCTAACTCTGCACAAGAAACTTCTTTTCTCTGGACCTCAGTTTCCTCGGATGAATAAGAACAAAAATCTCGACCAGGGTGGGGAACCTGCAGCACTTGAGGAGCTAGAGGGCCACGCATGGCCTCGAGGCCTCAGGTTCCCCACCCCAGAAATTCTTAACTCTGCTGACATTCCCATTGAGGAATGCCCTTTTTATAAACTGCAAAGGGAGGGGCAGCTAAGTGGCACAGCAGATACAGCACTGGCCCTGGAGTCAAGAGGGCTTGAGTTCAAGTCAGGCCTCAGACATTTATTAGCTGTGTGATCCCGTACAAGTCACTTAACCCCAATTGCTTCCCACAAACAATGAATAAATAAAGTGCAAAGGCTTCCCACAGAAGCAGGCATGCATTGAGAGAATGCATTATAATCAGGAAACCTGAGTTTAGGTTTGTGACTCAGTCTCTAGATGTGAAGGCTGGGAAGCAAACATCTTTCTCCTCCCTACCCTAAGAAAACCTATCCCTTTTCCTCCCTGAACACCATGCCTCCTCCCATAATCTACTGGCTTTTCCTATTTAAATGTTTCTCTTGGTTTCTGGGGATTTTGTGTGTATATGTGTGACCTCAAGCAAATCAGTCAACCTCTCTGGCATCAGTTTCCCTCTGTGCAAAATAAAGGGGTTAGATTTAGACATGGCCCCTCCCAGTCTCACACTGTAAGAACTAACTCCCTCTGAGCTGTCGTTCTGTGTCCTCTAGGCCTTTCCCAGCTCAGACATTCTACCATCCTCAGAACTCTGATTAGGTGTGAGCTAATATTTAGGAGTCTTGCAGAGAAAAGGACTTAACAGATATTTTGAGGAAGGGATTTAGGGGATACTGGGGTTGGCATGGAGCTGGGGAGACAATTGTATTTCTTCCTCTCCTTTCATAAGAAATCAGGACACAGGAAATTGTTACTTCCAGATACTTCCTTCTGCCTCCTCTCCTTACCACCCCACCCCCACCCCACCCCAAGCCTGAGCAGGTGCTGTGTTCCTTCTTTTGACCACTTGATCCTCCTTGGAGAACAGAGGGTTCACTTAATCCCCCGATCTGTGGGATTTACTGCTCTGGCCAACCCCCCAGAGTAGGATTGGGGGGTCGGATCTCAGCTCTCCTTCCCAAAGCTCTCGCCAGGCTGGCCCTCCGGCCTTTTCCCATTCATAGCCTTGGGGCTTTCTCACAGCCCAGCAGGGCCCGGCATTTCATTCTGGCCAATTCTTCTCAATCCAGATGCAGCTGGATGTTTGCCTCCCCTGAAGAATCCTTACCTGATCTATATGCCCTTCCCGGTGGGCCTTTTAACCCTTGACTTCCCTTTGTACTGATGGCTCAGATTAGTGCTACATTTATCTTCAGCTCTCAAAAATTCAATTAAATTGACCAGTAAGTTTTATGTTGTTCTTTAGACAATGTACTGTGCTAGGAGGAAAGAAAGAAAGAAAGAAAGAAAAAGAAAGAAAGAAAGAAAGAAAGAAAGAAAGAAAGAAAGAAAGAAAGAAAGAAAGAAAGAAAGAAAGAAAGAAAGAAAGAAAGAAAGAAAGAGAAAAGAAGGAAGGAAGGAAGGAAGGAAGGAAGAAGGAAGGAAGGAAGGAAGGAAGGAAGGAAGGAAGGAAGGAAGGAAGGAAGGAGAAAAGAAGGGAAGGAAGGAGGGAGGGAAGGAGAGAAAGAAGGAGGGAGAGAAGGAGGGAAGGAGGGAAGGGGAGAAAGCGGAAGGAAGGAAGAGGAAAAGAAAGGAAAGAAAATCCCTGCCCTCCAGGAGTTTACATTCTACTTGAAGGAGGGTACAGGGATACTAGTACTTTGAGAAAGGATAGAGACTAGAGTTGTCATTTTGGTGCTGCAGTAGATAGATCCTGGGGCCTTGAGTCAGGATGACCTGAGTTCAAATCCAACCTCAGACACTTAATGGCTGTGTGACCCTGGGCAAGTCACTTAACCTCTACGTGCCTCAATTTTCCTATTTGCAAAACGAGGATCATAATAGCATCTACCCCCGTCCCAGGGTTGTTGTGAGGATCAAATTAGAGAATATTTGCAAAGTGCCTGGCACATAGTAGGTGCTATAGAAAAGCTAGTCATTATTACTTCATTAGTACAGATCAGATCTCTTATTCCATTAGTATTATTGGGAATTCCTGAATTAGAAGGCTATCACCTCTTCAGTAACCTATAATCTTAGAGCTGTGTGGAGCTGTAGTCAAACTCAAATAGAGAAAGGATCCCTGCAGGCTACACATCAACTTAGAAAACCACAAATTAACATTATCTAGGTTGTATTATACTTCTGTTTATTTTGTAAAACATTTTCCACTTCTGTCTGAATCTGGGTTGGGTTGCACTTGAGGGTTTTGCCGCTGCTTGCTGCCACGGATTATGAGTTAGATGCCTCTGGTGTGGAGCATTGGGAGGCTAAGTGCTTTCACTGGTTATGTAACTAGGATGTGTCAGAGACAGGCCTTGAATGGAAGCCAGCTGCGTGCCCAGGAGGCCTCCACTTCTGGGGCCAGAGGTGGCACCCGAGCTAAGCCTTGAAAGGAAGCCGGGGCACTCTAACAGAATGAGATGGGGAGGGAGCACATCCTAGGCACTGAGGGCAGCCCCGGCAAAGAAAGACAGGGAGTCATGTCAGAACGACAGCCGGTACACAGAAAAACGAATATAAAATCAATACAAAGCAAATATGAGATAACAGATTGAAACGTTTTCAAAATCTTAAAGCACTGGTTATTATTATTAACAAATAGAAAGAAATTGGGAGGCAATAGGAACTAGGAGGGTCAAAATACCAAAATGATACTTTGGGCTTTTTTTTTCTTTTTCTAGGTCAATTTTATTTTATTTTATTTTTTTCCAATTACACATAAAGACAATTTTTAACATTCACTTTTTAAATAAAATTTTGACTTCTAAATTTTCTTTTTCCCTACTTCCCCTCCTTCCTCCTTAAGAGAGTAAACAGTTAGATATAGGTTATATATGTGCAATTGTGTAAAACATATTTCCATATTAGGATACTTTAAAATTTGAAGAGGAGTTTAGAAGACATGCATTACAGTCATGGAGAACATCCCAGGCAAAGGCCAGTAATAGCTAGCATTTATATAGTGCCTTAAGATTTGCCTCACCGAAAGAAAAAGAAAGATTTGCCAGGCACTTTGCAAATGTTATCTCACTTGATCCTCATGACAGCTTTAGGAGGAAGGTGTTGTTAGTATTACCCCCATTTTACAGATGAGGAAACTGAAGCAAAAAGAGACTCTGTGACTTGTCCAGGGTCACACAACTAGTAAATGTCTGAAGTCAGATTTGAACTCAAGTCTTCTGGAGGTCCAATGTTGGATCCACTACCTCACCTAGCTGCCACTCAGTGAAGTAGTGAGGTGTATTGTCATGGCTAGTACGCCAGTTGAAGAGGACTGAAGGATATGTGAAAAGAAACTGTGCCCAACAAATCTGGAAAAAGTCTAGAGCTTGATTGCAATGTCACATTAAGTCCTTAAGGATTTATTAAGGCTTTCTCTATGCCAGGCATCGTGCAAAGGGCTTTCAATGTTAAACAAACGACTTGGGGCAGCTAGGTGGTGCAGTGGATAGAGCTCGGACCCTGGAGTCAGGAGGACCTGAGTTCAAATCCAGAATCAGACACTTAATACTTATTAGCTGTGTGACTCTGGGCAAGTCACTTAACCCCTAATGCCTCCCTCAAAACAAGAGTTGGTACCTAATAGCAGAGTTGATAAGAAATCCTTGGGACTTCTTGAGTTGTGCTTTAGGGATATGAATTTGGCATTTGTGTGGAAGATGGAGACAGAAAGACCAAATAAGAGGCTATTGTGACGGTCCAGTACAGAGAGGTGAGGATGAACCGGGCATTGGTTGCCTCAGTGGAAAGAAGAGGACACATGTGAGAGGTCAAGGAGAAGCAGAATCCACAAGACTTGGCAATTGATTGAATATGAAAGGCGAGAAAGAAGAAAGAGTACAGGAGGACTTCAGAGTTGCGAACCTGGGGGCAAGAAGGACAGTGGTATCCTCAGCAGGAATAGAGATTTTTGGAGGAAGAATGGATTTGATAGGTCAGGGAATGTAACAAATTCAATCTGGAGCACGTAGAGTTTGAGACAATGATGGGAAATCCATTTGGAAATGCTCAGTAGAAAGTTAGCAATGCAAGACTGGAATTCTGGAGAAAGATTAGGGCTAGATACATAGGTTTGGGACATCTCTGCACAGAGATGATAATCAGAACATCAAAACAAAATAAAGAAAGAACAGGGTCCAAGATGGAACCTTAGGGTACACTAATAGGGGAGTGATGTGGGTGATTAACAAAGGAGACTAAAATAGAGTAATTGGAAACATGGAAAGAGAACCAAGAGGTC